GCTTCTACCCTTGAATTTAAAGTGATTCCTAGTTTACAGTTCTAGAAATATGTTAACTGATAGAGTAATGTAAGTATGTGCTGACATCAAGTAAAACAAAACAGTTTGAAAAGTTAATGTTATCTGTATATTAATTTTCTGTACGATCATTATTCTTTTTTTTTTATTTTGTAGTTACGTCATAAGTTTTCGAACAGGGTATACTTGGTCAATGTTTATAAAGTGTAAATATTCAAAGTCATTATTGTTCATTCAAAGTGTTGTAGTGATGCATCTCTTGTAGCAAATTTAATAAAAATTACACCAAAAGAATTGATATTATGTGTTGAATGTGCTTCACCAACTTCCCAGTCTGTATGGTTCATAGGACAGTGTATGTATATGTGTTGGAATATTAATGATAACTCACTTTCAAATAGTTTCATCTGTGTATCTAGATGTGAAAGTTCAATCAAAAGATTATAGATTCAGTTCAAAGTTTGATAAAACACATGTTCAAAGTAGAACATGGAAACAATCATAATTATGATCATAAAAAAATGTGTACACAGAACATCAAGACCATTCTAGAGGGTAATTAATATGGTTCGTACCGAGAACTCGAGACCCTTTCGCCACAGTGCTGCTTCATCTTTTACATAACTAGACTTGGGAAATGAATTCTTACAGGTTTGTGGCCTGTGGTGGACCTATATGGGCAGTGTGCGCAGGTGACCATCGTGCACAACCCCATCCGTCACGACCAATCTCTCATCTCCGTGTCACAGTACTTGGACATGTCACATCTGTCACTGCCTGCTGCGGGACAGGCTAGTGTTGGCTCAGAGGTCTGTTCCCAAGCTTGTGGCAAGATGTTTTGAGACTGTCATACATTTCGTTGCATTCTTGTCGACTTCTTATTTTCTGTATTACTCTTATTATTGTTTTTCTTTTTTTTCTTATGTTAGACTGTGAAGTGAGGTTAGGTATGTATATTGAAAATGTTGTGTTATTTTGATTTTTATCAGCAACAATATTGTTTAGGATATGGCTCAAATTTCCACATGGTTATTTATATATTTGTTTCTCTCTCTCTCTCTCTCTCTCTCTCTCTCTCTCTCTCCCTCCCCTTATTTATTTAACTGTCAGGTATTGCACCGTTTTTCCAAATGCTGTGGAGCTAACATAGCCCTGAGCAACAACGGTACAACAGCAGCTCGTGTCCGGCACTTCAACCATGGCCTGCTATTCACTTCCCATCCATTAGAAGCAGAGGAACTGTTTGAGGTATGAGTGCTAGATGTGGGAGGAGCATTTGGGAGATGGAGAAAGAACATTTGTGTTTGTACCTGAGCTTATTGTGCTTGTTTTGATAGTAGTACCCTTCTTGCCGTACGTGTGCAGACTCTGTATGTACTTGCATATTACATATATTTGTCCATGAAAATTTTAGAGTCAAATCCTGTAATTTGTCTTTTTCCAGGTTCGCATTGAACAGGTCTCGGAGGGTTACTGTGGATCTTTGAGCATTGGCCTGACCTCTCTCCCAGTGACAGACTCTTACCCGGCAGTCAGCCTCCCTGCCACTCTCTCCGGAATAGAATCTGCTGACACTTGGTGGGTCAGCGGCTCTGACGTGAGAAGGAATGGATCCTCTGTCCTTAGGTTGAACTTCTGTCCTAATCTCGGGAGGCTGCTTGTCGGGGATCGCATCGGCATCAAGAAAACAAGCGATGGTGCAATGAGGCTGTATATCAATGGTGAAGATTTCGGAATCGCTGCGACTAATGTCACTAAGGTATGGTGTTTTGTTTTTTTTAAGGGTTATTTGGTATTTGTATTTCTTTAGGTATAATTAAATACTGGCAATTGGTTTAGGAGTAAGCTTTTCAGTTGTATATGTTATCTTTAACTGTACTTGCATACATCAGACATAAAAAAAAATGTTTAAAGCACTTGCCTATGAATGAAATTTCTACATTTCAGAGAGTGTTTGGTGTGGTTGACCTCTTTGGCTTCACGGAGTCAGTAGTCATAACGAGTGTCTCGAGACAAGCAAGTTCACCCGTAATGGACTCCACAGTTATGGCCACCAACAACAATGCTGTGTCACAAGATTCTCTCGAGCTTTCTCAGCCGGACTCCCGCCATCCCTTGGGGCATCACTCACTCACATCAGGCTTTCACCCAGCAACGTCTGCCCACATTCCTCATGATCACAGGGTAACATCTGAGACAAAGATGACAAATGACCAGAGAGGACAGGAATCCGGGCAGAATGGACGGCATCATCAAGGAGGGGACCTAAGAACCAGCAGCCATTCCCATGGGGCGCTTGAGCTGTCGACAGAGGGCAGGCAGCAGCACTCAAGCTTAGGGAACAACAAAGACTCGTCTCTGATTCTGTTTCACGAGAAGACTGGCAAAAACATCCAGCTCTCCAGCGACCGCATGACAGCTCGTCGGTCAGAAAGCTATAACCAAGGGATTGTTATGTCAGTTAAACCTCTACCAAGGAATGTAGTCTTCCAGGTGGGTTGTTATAGTAATTTGTATTATCTTCGGAAACAAACATTATCATTGTAGATGATTTTCAATTTAGAAATAGAGATATTGTTTTAGAAAGTTTTAAAATCATTGGATATTGATACCGGATTGGCAAAAGCATCTTACTAGTTACAAATACCCTTTTCAAAGTACACACTGAGATTTGATTTATATATGTATATCAGTACACATTTAGATTTACTGACATGTGTATATCAGTACCTAAGGAAATGTAATGCGTCACTAACTCCCTCAGGTTCGATTGGGGTCCTTGAATTCCCGTTGGTCAAGTTCCCTCATGATTGGCGTGACGGCACAGGCCCCCGAGAAGATCCACCTCCCAAACACAGTCTTTGCGCTGAAACGTAACACATGGGTTATATGTGGCGATTCAGTTTTCTACAATGGGGTTAAAGTAAGTGTATGAGATTATATACGATGTCAGAGCTTTCCGTGTTCTAGTCTGCTTTTCTATCGGATATCAAATTTTTTCTCTATCACTTTTTCTATCTTTCTCTGCTTGACCATTGCTTTTTGTTTCTATCAGATCAAAGGTCGATATGGGCCAGACCTAGACAGTTTAGCAGGAGGACCCAGTGGCCATCTGGTGGGTATCATGGTGGACGACGAAGCACGACTGCACCTCTTGGTCAATGGTGTTGATCAAGGGGTTGCTGCGAAGGAAATACCACCAAACCCTTACGTTGTTCTGGACTTGTATGGACAGTGCCAGGAGGTTGGTTTTCTGTGTTTGTTTGTTGTTTTTTTGTTGTTGTTCAGTGCAGTGCTGTGGCCTTTTTGTCAGTCAGAAGGGGGAATACAGCGGGTGTATTTGAGTAATGGCCATGTTTAAACTCACGTGAATATATTTATGCAAAAGACACTGTAAAGTTTTTATTGATATATTGAGAATAAAGTGTGTTGTAGAGTGGTTTTCCATACGGGAACTATGGTAAATGTAAATATATTTCCCAATTATCACCACATTGCTATACATTTGTGTATATGTAAAGCAGCCAGTGTGAAGACAAAAGAAGCAAACCTATATTTATTTTTGGAAAGCATAGAAAAGTAGTTCTGCTGGAATTTTCCTCTCCCGACTCTACTGATTGTGAAGCATTAACCATAAACTCATTCCTTTACAGGTTACCTTGTGTAATAATAGCATGAGCATGGAAATTGCCAACACGACTACCACCAGTATTTCATCCACAAACACAATCAATAGCAGCAGTAATACCCTCGCTAACAGCACCACCACAAGCCCAAACACCACGTCTAACACAACCACCACCATCACATCAGCTGCACAGATTGGCAATGAACAGAATAAGAAAAACCTACTCAAGACTCATGAGCATCACCACCACCACCACCGTCATCACCACACTACCCACAACCTGCAGCAGCAGCAGCAACATCAGCAGCAACAGCAGCAACAACAGCAGCAGCAACAGCAGCAACAACAACAGCAGCAGCAGCAACAACAACAGCAGCAACAGCAGCCGCAGTCACAACAGCCATCACTTCTGCCCGGGCTGGTCACCCTTCAGGATAACTCCCCAAGCAACATCTCCAACAATGACTCGGCAGTTGTCAGACAAACTGATTCAAATTTCCAGACGGAGCATATCACTCAGCCCCATCCTCCCAAACTTAAGGAGAAGGTAGGTTTATGTTTTTAAATGTTTACTTTGTGGATTCTAAAATGATTAGCCTTCTGAATTGTATATTTAAAGCACAAGTTCCTCCCCCCCCCTTCTTCCATCCCAGAAACATGATTTGAGCTAAGCATCATCTTTTTTTCTGTGATTATTTTTTAAGTGATGGCTGAAAAGGCACCCAAAGCCAGTTTACCTATGACTAATGAACGCTTCAACCTTTTTCGTTCTCTTTTCCAGGCAATTTCTCGTTCTCAGCCAGATAGCAGTATGGTGAAGAATTGTGAATACCAAAATATGTGCTATCGATTCAAGGCTTCATTAGCTCTACCAGGTAAGGTTTTGGGAAGAGAAAGCTGTTAAGGGGGCTGGCAACACTGGGTAAAAAAGATATTGTATTTCAGAGATATGCTCAAAATCTTTTTAGACCAAATACAAATCATCCTTAACCAATGTTTTGCTTTGTGACGTACAATGTAAATGTCTTGGGTGGTTTAAAGGAGTAAGACTGACTGCACCAAAATGATTTTGGAAATGTTTTCATACATATGGTAGCAACAAATCGCAAATCTTTGCAATTTAAGGGGTTGCTGTCTCATCACGATTTTAGTTTGCAGATTTTTTAATATGTGAAAAGAATATTTGACTTGTTTATCATCATGTACCATTTGAAATGATACAGTTATTATGTTTTGTTCTGTGCATGAAATTGTTACCCAGAATATAATTGACTTTCTTGTTTCATATTTTCAGAGGGATACTTTAGTCCAGAAGGCAACTTATGCTACTGTGAAACCTGTCATAAAATACGGGGGGATGAACCATATTATACAAAAGGTAATTTTGGTTTCATAGTTCCTTACTACTGATTTGTTACCAAATGAAAAGAGACTTTAATCAAACGGATGATAAGCTTTTATAGACACTACTATGTATGTTTTACATGTGATTAAAAAAAAAAGTTTTTGTTAAGAAATATTTAGATTTTTGATATGAGGAAAATAACAAACCTCCTTCTATACAACAGGAAATCCCCCAAAACATTACGCACAACCGTTTGGCTGGTGTCGTTTTGCACTTGTAAGTGGGGTTGGCGATAACAATGAGTCGTGGCACATGGCATATCATGGCACCAGACCTGGGGCAGTAAGACGTATGTTAGATAAAGGAGAGCTTCTGTTTTCAGGTAAGTGTCGTGTTATTGATTTTTTGGATTGATTTTTTTTATATTTCATGCTGAAAATGTTTAAAAAGAGGAATGGGTTGACATGGATAAAAGTATTTTGAACCATTTTGAGGTTAAATATAAAGGTGATCGTCTGCATTGTGTGTGTAAATAGAAAATGGAAGATTATCAGGCCGTATATGTGAAAGTGAAAGCAGATTTTTTTTCTCTTTTTAATAGAAAGGGTTAGTATTTATATATGTAGAAGAGGTATAAGTGAGAAAGATTAATCTTAGATTTGTTATAATAACCGTTATTGTAAACTATTTATTGCTAAAAGAATCTAGAGTTAAAGTGCTTTAAGAATGTTGTATATTTAATAGATTTGAGAACAAGGGCAATGGTTGCCTTTGTTGTAGGAATAGATTTCTTTTTCTTTTCTTTTCTTTTCTTTTTTCTTCTTTTTTCTTCTCTTCTTCTTCTTCTTCTTCTTCTTTTTCTTTTTTCTTCTTTTTTCTTCTCTTCTTCTTCTTCTTCTTCTTTTTCTTTTTTCTTCTTTCTTTCTTTCTTTCTTTCTTTTTTTTTTTTTTTTAATCTTGTACTTCTATTTGCAGGTGAATTAGGAGTGAGCTCAACCTTAGCTGGTCGTCGAAGTAAAGATGATGATAGTGATGGATCCCAGTTATGTTTCTCTCCCACTATTTCATATGCTTCTACAGACCAGTTTTCACCTGCTGTCTTGTAAGTAGAGAAGTAATGTTAGTATTTTTGTCTTGTCGTACGAATATTGGTTGATAGCTGTCTGAACATTGATTTTAGTAGAATGAGAATAGTATCACGGTTTTGTCCGTCATGTCCTTTGTTTTATACCAAGAAATCCCCCCCCCCCCCATTTATTCATCAGCTGGAAAGCTAGAAAACGGCAGATATACATAATAGCTGTTATCTGTAGTTAAAGCAACGTAGTGTGTAGTATAGGTTTACAGGGAGAAAAACCTTGTCTGCTTGTCTGCTTGTTTCCGATAATTGTCACATGTGCATAACTGAGCAGGGCACATAAAGGGCAGCAGGTTCTGGAGTGACAGTATTTGGCTGGGTGGCTAAAACACCAACATTTCTGACATTGAAGGGGAGGGGGTCGATATGGTCCAGTAGGGCAGAACACCACCAATATAAACTTCGTAGGGAAGGTCATGTCTACGGAAGCTAATCTTGGTAATATTGGTGTAGGACTTACTCTGGCCTCTGGAAGGAATATTATAGCACTGTACTATCACTGCCTCTTAGTCAACAAGGCAGGCAAGCAGATCGTTTTCACAGCCTGACCAATGGAAAGGGTTCTGGTACAAGTATTAAGGGAAGAGTGAGGCTGGACAGGAATAGGTTTGCCTGTGAGGTCAGTCAGGGTTGATAATGCACAAGCTTGGGACTCAGATGTAACTGTGACAAGGCACGAATGATCGGAACGACTGTGAAAGGATACTCTGCCTACTTGTTTTTGGAGACATTGTTGGAAGAGAAAGGTATTGTCAGAGTACAGGGCTGTAGAGGGAATCACAAAGATTTGATCCCACTTGGCTGGGCCAAAAAGTATACTCAAAAAGGTTTGCAGAAGTGAAAGCAGTTAAATGATGAGGGCAGGAGGAAGATGGGGTGGTATGGAGTGAGGTAGTATTGCAGGGAGAAGGACAATAAGGATGAAGTAGTGATATGGGAGGAGGGGGAAGACAATGAAGAAGACTGTGCAGTAGGAGATGGACTGGAGGGTGTTGGAAAAGAGGAAGGGGAGAGATGAAGGGTTGTATTCTGAAGGCAGAGTAATGACCTGGGTGGGTGATTTGGGATAGATGGGGTTGATAGCAAAAATCAAGGAATAGGTATTAGTATCCATGGTTGGAGCCATGGTCAAAGGAGAGGCAGGCATTAGGAAACCAGAGAAATAAAATTAAGATAGGCTAGTTGATGAAGAGAAAGCCTTAATACCCCTAATAAGGGTAGAAAATCTTTATTATTGACCATGGTGAGCCTGACATAAGTGGGGCAGAAAAAACAGTCTACCCCTAAGGGCCCCATAAGGGAATACCATTTCCATGGCTCCTGGAGGCAGTTCAGGACTGACACAAAGCCAGCCTTTCATCCTTTCACCACAGCTCTCACACCTCAGGAAGGGGACAGAAGAAGAGAAGGAAAAGGAAAGGGAGAGAAGAAAAGACCATACAAAATTAGTTAAGGCAAGGGCTTAGGTCCAATGTAGGGGTGATACCCTTCATTGGGCCTTAGTCTCCATCTCAGAACTCCAGGGGGAATACATGTAGAAAAAGGACATTGAAATCGAGACATTTTCAATTTCTGAACTCTATATATATTAGTATCTATATATTGACATCTATTCTCATATAAGCATGCATCCTTACCAGGTGGCAAGGATGCATGCTAAATGTGGTTAGCCTCAAAGTCATGCACCTAAAAGTTGATCAGTTGTTTGGCTCTTACCATAACTATTCATGTGCTACAGCCCCTCAAAAGTCTTCTTTTAGTCTCAGTTACTGTATGTGATCCCTGGCACTTGGCTCTGTGTTACAAGGGAAAGAATAGTCAATATTAGGTTTAAACATTCTTCCTGTTCATTGTTGTCTTCCACAACTGCTAATAATGTTGTCTTCCATAAATGTAAATTGGTACATTTAGAAAAGGAAATTTTGATTACAGGGCAGTGATGGGAACAATAGAAAGGTACATAAAACTAATCTGTAGAATGTATGAATCTTGGTGCAGGAAGACAAGTTCATCTTTGCCACATCTCGGTTAAATAATCCTTTACTGCATTACTCAAAAAATTACTTCAGATTTTCATTTTTCTTTTAATTTTTTCTTCATTTCTCACACAGGTTCGTTGACCCGTGCACAAGAAAAACACTACATGTTCGGGTGGTACTGCAAATAGCGGTTAAGCCTGGTTCGTACAAGGTCGGTTCGCCTTCCATACCCTGGACTCCAAGCCTGCCCAACACCCACTCGACCCCAGACTCGCACCTGCAGCCCGACACAATAGAGTGGGTGACAAAAGAGCGAGGTGCAACTCAGCTCCTGTCCCTTCTGATTAGAATCGAGGAGGAAAAGTGAATAGCTCAATATAAAATAGCATTTACCGATATTTAGTTCTTTTCAATGGATTTACAATAAGTATATATAGTATGTCAACTCTGCCTCCCTCCATCCCTGATTGATATATTGCGACGTCAGTGGTAGATGCAAATCATGTACAATCCAGTGGACAGACTTACACATGGCTGTAGCATAATGGCAAGCACACTGATTATTTTTCATTATTTTTTTCATGTAAATAGTAAATGAATATCTTTCAAAACACAGCACAACCCTGTGGATGGCTATGCATAATGGAAATGTTTTGAAGGTAAATCATGATCATTCATAGTGTATAAAGTTTTTTGTAATTTCATTTTGCTATTGTAATAAGCAGCAAGTTTATATTTCATCAGAAGACACAAAAGTGATTGCATTACAAATCTTTCAACGTTAAAGTATGGATCAAAATGCCAGGTTCTTTGGAAAATTAAAAAAATATATATATATATATTACTATGCAATTGAGACTTTGTGTACTTTTCTAATTTGTAATTTTTAATAGTGTTTATACTGAAAATAACATTTTTAATATTCATATCAAAATTAACAAAACATTAACACTATCAAATGATTTAATTCTTTTTAGGTGTGTCATTGGTCAATCATCTTTGGGTGTACGAATAAGGCGTAGCATTAGGACGAATTAGTCATTTTAGTAATGTTCGCATTTTAATCAGTGTTCAATTTTTTCCCCATTTGTAATGTTCAGCTGCCCTTCAGAAATGAGATTAATCAATAGAGAATCATACAGGAACAAATACCTTGACTGGAAATTGATTTTAAAAAGGGAGACGCATACTCCTTTTGTGATTATTAAACTTGGGAACCAGGCAGGAATTTCAACATTCTCATTATTATTATTATTATGGTTCTTTTTTTTTTCACTTTCATTTTTTTAAATGTGATAATACATCATCTAAGCTGATAAGAGTTCTTCGTCATTCAATTTGAAATGTATGTATTCGTGGATAATTTATTTATTATATTTATTTTGCCCTTCTTTCCTTCTCCACTGGCATTGGTTAATTAGAAACAGAATAAATGTGCAGGTGTGACTTGTATGTACTTTTGTGTATGAGTAAGGATAACTTGAAAACACTGATGGGTTAAACTAGTAATGCAAGAGAGAAAATAAGGATTTCAAAGTGCACTGTTGACTCTTAGTTTGTATAAAAATTAGTTAAAGAATATCCTGATTTTTGTTTGTTTTAATTATTAGTAGGATATATATGGAATGCTGTTTTAGTACAAGTTTTGTACTTTGTCCCCTTGTTATTTACACACATACTCACACTCTCCCTTTCTCTTTCTTTCTTTCTCTCTCTCTCGCACTCACTCACTCACTCACTCTTCTCTCTCTTTCCTCTCTCTCTCTTCTTCCTCTATATCTTCCCTTCTTTTCACATACACCAGTACCTTGAACAGTGCTGAGTTGGCAGTGCAGAATGTTAGTCATTACATATTTTGATGAACTACATGTGTCATTTATACAGGTCAGTGACTTTTGAGGTTCACAGAGTGTAAACTCATATCAAGATTCTTCCAAGAATTTATATTCGATTAAATATAAAGTTTCTTGGAACACCATTGTTACATAGTTTGGGAGTAGGAGAGGCTATATACAGTTTATAAATAAATATATGACAGTGCATGTTACATCAGAATAAACCCAGTTGATAGGTATCTAATACCATGTATCTATGATCTCTTGTTACCGAGACTTGTATGTGACTTTAGGTATCTTAAAGATGTTTTTAAGAAAAGTGTTCTGTTTATCACACAAAAAATAGACATCAGAAAGGGTAGATGTATGTATGTATGATGTGCAAGGTAAACAATCATTCAGAATGACTTTCCAGGTGTTATGCAAACAATTTTGTATTCTTTTAGTCCTCGTTAGTTTTCCGAAGCAGAGAAACGGTTACAAGACGTTGAACTAATTTGTTGGAAGGTATTGGTTCTTATGTATCATGTGCTGCTTTGTGTGTTGGTTGAGGTTATATTCAGTCACTTTTGGTTAACTATCTTTCTTTTTTCTTGCATTGATGTATTTATTATTTTCCTTCTTCCTTTCTCTCTTTTTTCAAAGAATGACTTATTGTTTAAGTTAGGTCAGCAGTTTTTTTTTTATAAAGAGTTTTTGTTTTGTCATGCATGTCATTTTGAAGCATCTCTGATTTAAAAAGGTTGTTTTTATAAATCATGGATTCTTTTCTGCACTAGTTTTTGAAGTACTACAATCATTTTATTCATTGCTGTCATTATAAATTGCTTGTTCATTAGCCACCTCATTATTTATTGCTTCTTATCATTTCCAATACTTTTTTTGGTCAGTCTGCTTTTTCATTTCAGCCAACATGTACAATCGAGCAGATGACATTCATATTCTTGAATATATTATCCTCACGTTCAAGCATGTTGACATTAAAAATTCACATAATTTCTTAGCCTTGCTGTGATATTATTTTTGCCATATCTCACAAGCCTGCTGTTGCTTGTGACCTAATCCAAGAAACTCATGTCATGTGTAGCTGTTAGATACCAGTGACCTCAACAAAATTGACCTCAGCTTGCTTATGTTTCCGACGATGCTCTTGTGCATGGTTTCAGTGGCAGCTATAATGGTCAAGAGTACCATGGGGTTTTGGTACCGATAATGGGCCCAATTATGGTATAAGTTTCTGTGTGGAAATTTGAGTGATATTGGTTGTTACATAATATTTGAAGTTGTGTTATAGTGTTGTTTTTATGTATGTAACTAGATCTAGTCTGGCATATTATAAGCTTCTTTCATACCTTTCAAAAAAAAATGCTGTATTTCAATTATTTTGGATTTTATGTTGAATACTAGATGAAAATTGTATTGTTTCCAACTCTTATAGAATGTATATATTTGTTACTTTTTTTCTTTTTCCCCTTTTTCATTACTATGAGTTAGTAATACAAAAATTCTAAAACATTTACCACATCTGATAACCCATCTCGGCAGTATTGGATCTTCTACTACTCAAAGCCATTTTTATTATGTTACACTTTCATACATATAGGTTGTCTTTTTTCTATTGTGTTTCTATGATTCCTGCCAGAATGATATGCATTTTCCCCCCTGATTGGTTTAGTGAGGTATAAGAAATGTGTCAGGATTATTTGAGTATGGAAGTGTTTTATACGGTTGATGCTGTCATTAGCTTCAGAATTTTGCCATGAATGAAACAAACTGGATTAATTATTAGAAGTATTTACATTCCAGTATTGCATTTCATAAGTGAAACAGATATTGACTTTAAGCATCAAATCTGAGTTTGGGTGATATCTACCAAAGAGAAAGAACTTTTGTATACTGAAATCAGCTGTGCACTAAATTATATCTTGCTGAGCCTACCAAAGTTATCAGAAATATCAACAGGAACTAGAACTCAAGATATCTAAGGAAAACCATCAAAATATCACTGCTTACAGAAAATAAGACAACACATAGAAAATGGATAACCTAACACTCATCTGACATACATTACATGTAAGTTTGTATATACATGTGGAATGTTTGGAAAAGACAATTCATGCCTTTTCTTCCAAACTGAAATACTATTGAAACTTTGAAACTTTTTCAGATGCTTTATCTGAACAACTCTTCAAATATATGGAAATATGATGATGACAGACTGTGCTCTCAGTTTTGGTATCACATATTGGTATAATACTGCTTGTCTAAAAGAGTTACAAATGACAGCTAATGTAGTTAAGAATGTAACCAGTATACCTCTTCACAGACAAGTGTGTCTGTTTGGTGCCTACATACAAGCATGTGTATGTGTGTGTAGGTTACAAATATTTATGACTGCAGTTGGAATTAGTGCCTATCTGAAACCTATTTCAGAGTGTCAGTAAGTATTGTATGTTCAGTGCAGCTTTAAAAGGGTGTGTCTATTCATCTGGCTAAGGTATTCTACTCATCTGTTCTGAAAATACTGTTATGCTGATATAAATATAAATGAAAATCA